TCAGGTCCTAACTCCTTCCCCTCCTGCTGCGTCTGCCCCTCCAACCCTGCCCCTTGCTCCCATGTCACCCAGAGAACAAACCTCTCTCTAGGTACCAGCTCCTCTTTCCTTTCAGGGACCCAACGTGTTTTTGTTTCCCCAGCTCTGTCCCGAAGACATTCTGGCCCCCATCACCCTACGCTTCAACTACACCCTGACGGGGGAGCCCATCGCTGCCGCCCGTGGCCTCAGACCCATCCTGAGCGAGGACTCTGTGCTGGCGTCTGCAGGCTCGGTAAGGTGCCAGAGCCAGGCCCCACGGTGGGTCTGCTGCAGGGATCGAACCAGTGATGTTGGCATTCAAAAGCGAGAGACTGAAAAGTTCAGAGCCAGCAGCAGCTTCCTAAACCCCTTACAGAGTATGGACACTAGAGGGCGACAGAGATGGATGCCCAGTTTACCTTGGCTAGGGACCTGTCTCTCCTAGGTGGGAACATTCCAACTTCTCCTCAAAGTTCCCCAAATTTCTGTCCAAAAACCAAAATATTTTTGGCTAAAAAAATGATTTTTTCTGAACATTTTTCAAAACTCATTTTGGCCAGGGTCCCTTAGAGGGGCAAGGCCCCATGCCCTGTTCCCCATCCCACCGTGAGCCAGGCTGGCCCCCTGCCCTGCCAGCCCTAGAAGATTGATACTGTTGCTGGCCAGAGCCGGGAGTTGGAAGGGGGAGGAGGGGTATTGGTGAGTGGGTGGGTGGCAAGGGCAGGGCTGATGATGGGTTTAGCTGTCCCCCAGTGCAGGGGACTGGGAGGTGCTGGGGTAACTGGAGGGCCCCTGGGTCCCTGCAGTGTCGCTCTGGCAGATGGTGCTGCAGTCCTCTCCCCATTGACCCCTGCCCTCCTGGTCTCCCCCAGCTCCCGTTTCAGAAGGACTGCGGCACCGATGGCCGCTGCGATGACCAGTTAGCAGTCTCCTTCAATTTCTCTGAGTAAGTCACCGAATCCTCCCTGCAAAATCACCCGCCATGGGGGGACCCATCCAGCTTGATCACACCTTGGATTTCCAGTGCTGATGGATCCTGGGTGGCGGGCACTGCTGTGGTAAAGATTGCAGCACTGGGGTCCCTGGCTGGGCACTGCTAGAGGAAGTTCACAGAGCAGCCAGGGCACTGCCTTGAGGAAGCTCACCCCTTTCTCCCCTCCTTAGCTTGAGCACCCTGGTGGTGGGGGTCACCCCTGAACTCAACATCACCGTCTCCATCCAGAACCATGGGGAGAATTCCTACAACGCCAGGGTGCAGTTCTTCTACCCGGCCGCGCTGTCCTACCGCCGGGTCCTGCTGCTCCAGGTACCCCAGTGTACACCGGGCATATGGGGCAGCCTCTGCAGGTGGCACCGTGCTGCAGGGAGTGGGCAGGGGACTTGTCAGGGGATGCTGCTCTGCAGGGAGCAGGCAGGAGGTCAGCAGGGGACACTGTGCAGCAAGGAGTCAGCTGGGAACTCAGTTTGGAGCGCTGTGCTGCAGGGAGTGGGTGAGAGCTTGGCCGGTGGTGTCCTGCTGCAGCGAGCGGGCAGGGGCTTGGCAGGGGGCGCTGTGCTGCAGGGAGGGGATGGGGGTCTCAGCAGGGGGCGCTGTGGCCCCATCTCTCACTGGCTGGTCCCCTGTGCTCAGTCTAACAGGAGGGCCATGACCATTAAGTGCAGCTCAGCAGAGGGCTCAGAGGAGCAATCTCAAAGGAACAGCATCTGCCACATCAACCACCCCATCTTCTGGAGCGGGGCCGAGGTAGGGACGGGCCCTGGCCTGTGAACTCCCCAGGGGTGAGCCCAGCTGGGAGCAGAGAGGGGCAGTTCCCTGGGGTCAGCCCAGCCCATGACAAGAGTTGTGCTGGGGAAAGCGCCACGGGGAGCCCGGCGAGTCAGTGCAAACAGAGTCCTGAGGTCACTCCGGGGCTGGGGTCAGGCCCTGCCAGGGCTGGAAACCAAGGGCCAGACTTGGGGGGCTGGAAATCAGGCCTCACTGGGGGAGAAAAGAACAAAGGGAGGGGCTGTTCCCTCCCCCATTTGGGGTCCTTAAAATGATGGTTAACGGGGTGTTGCCACAGCACGGAGCCGGCTGAGGTCTCTGGATCCCAAACCAGGTTAACACTGTTTAATGTTGGACAGGGACAGGGTCATGTTAACTCCCTTTGCCGCTCTGGGGCCATTTATTCCATCTAAGTTCATACAAGAGCCCCCCCACG